TAGTTTGTAAGAGGAAACAACTATAATTCGTCACTGATAATACAAACAACATTCAGGGACAGCTGAAACAACACACAGAGATAGAACAGTTGAAAGTAGACAAAAGGAGCATTGTCCAAGGTAAGATTATAAAAGAAACATTATTTAGTAGCCGTGCAATATGCTGCAAAGGCTTTTTCATGTTGGGGCAGTGGGTTAGATGTGGGACAATTGCCCTTTTATCATCTTCCCTGTAACTCACAGCAGTCGCCCACTGTGAGGCTGCAGAAGGGGACTTGGTTCCCATCCACACAGGATGTTTCTTAAAATCTGCTTGATAACTTATGCAACAAGTGCTGGGCTTTGATATGCATTATATTTTGTGAAAGGCAGCACAAATAGCATATTAAGAACACTTACTTGCAGGTTTAGTCTATCAAATCAAAGCTAACAGCAAGTATTTTTGTGTCTGTGCAGCCCACTAATGTAAGCAATGATACCTTGTGGAACAAAAGCACTTTTCCTAATGTAATATTCAACATTTAGTGCATTATTTTTGTAGTTCCACTGGGTTTGACAATGTAAAAAGCCACGAGTTATCCAGCTGCAGTAATGAATATAAACCTAAGACACACAGGGAACAAAACATCTTGAGTGTTTGGCTGCAGGAGTGCACCGCCCAGCAGTTCACGGCTCCTTTCCCAAATACTTCTGATGCTGTTCCACATCTCTCTACCGGGGGAACTATCATCAACAAACTCCCAGAAGTTACACAAACAACAAACACAGATGTAGATTTATATCTGCTTACCTTTTTATTTATCTGTAGCAGCTCTCACGCTCGGCCACGCCGGGGGAAACTCTGCTGGGTTTAATTTCCAAACCGACCCAGTTCCCGTTATTCATTCGCTCCCTTTTTCCCTCTGTCTTTCTCTGCCGAGCAAACTACGCGTCAAGATAGCGGCTGTGAACGCGTCCATTTCCGGTTACGCATTTCACAATAAAACCAGGATAGCGCAATTTCCGCTGTGTTGAGGAAAATAACGCCACATCTCACTTTATAAAATTGATCAGCGAGTGTAATAAACCTCGAACCGAATTGTTGTTGAGCCAAAAATAAAGCAGGTACACAAAAACATTTAAAAACTTCAAATTTGAGAACCGCTTTGCTCTTATTTTTTTAAAGCCACACTTCCGGTCTCCATCGTGTAGTTATAGTGAGTCTGACAACGGCCCTCCTCCTCCCACCCTTACATCCCTGCACCCCCCCCATCCCCCACACGTCCTGTCCGGATTCAATCAGCGTTGATTTGAATCACCACAGCCTCTGTTGTATTGGCTTTCAATAAATGTTGACTGTAGTTAACGCATTGTAGTAATCGATACCGGCCAGTACAAAGTCACTGGTGTTGTGTTATTGAAACACTTTCTGTTGAAGTTTTGAGTGTCATTAACAAAGATAACTTCATTAGATCCTCTCTAAGAAAACAAGGAACAGTATTGTCCAGACTTTAATTGCGTGAAATAACATTAATCCAACTACATATAACAACTTAAAAAGATTATGAAATACAAATTAGAGTTTTGATTGGGCCCCAAAAAAATCAGGCCTGAAATAATTCTGTGTGAGCTCGAGCTGAGCCTGAATATCTGCTTGAAATAAATAATTTGAATAGTTTATTACAAGCTAAATTAAACTACATTATTATTATTATTATTATAATATATAATAATATATTAATATTAAATATATCATACATATATATAAATACATTATTTAGTGATATTAGATGTCAAAATTGTGATTACAAATGGTTTCCATGACAAACATTAACCTTTAAAGTATGTTAGGGCTAGCTTTTAGCCCGATTTTTGAGGGTGACAATAACTTTTGGGCAACCTGATCCCAACAAACCAACTGTGGGACAAAGAGTACGTCTGTGTGGGACACATTACCAATACTGAGGGGTCTAACTTATCTTAAAATAAACATCTCTATGCTTTTCCCTCTGGCTGATTCAGTAGCACACAATGCTGGTTAGGCTACAGATTAGGCCTTTTAGCATGTGAAGGACTTAAATATACTTTATTTGAATGCAAATTCACAGTTCTTATGGTCTGATGTGATAGCCTGCAATAGTCTCCTTCCACCGGCTGCACCCGGCTATAAGTAGTTCTCCAGTCTTTGTTGTTGCTGCATTTTCTTTGTGGTAGTCTCTGCCTAAATCTGCATAGCTTGTGACTTTGTGGTGACTCGCAATTTCCCCTTAGCATACCAAAGCAAGGACAGGTCAATTTGCACTTGGTCACCCTACAGTAACTACCAATTTGGGGGTTTATGGAAAACTGTGACGGATTAAAGTGTTGAAACATCGAAGTTGCAGGTCACTTAGAGAAAGGGAGAACAGTTTAAGTCAACTTTAACTCACTATATTAATGTGAAAATCGAGCATACATCAAATTTTTTAAGCACCATTGATGAATCCCTACTTTTGCCACATATAAGCCTACCCTAACACCATTTCCTTGTACTGAGACACTGAATTAATGAGGGATTGGAGTATTTATAGGATTACGGACTCCTCTCCAACAATCCTGATGAATTGTTTATGAAAGGTCAGATACTGTATCAGCGGCCCTGCCTCTGTGCTTGTATCTGCCTTTTAAAACATAAACCTGGACAGTCTGCTGTGAATCAAATAAGTCAATATTCTTCTCACCGCTCTCACAGTGGTCTAAATAAATGGCTCCATTAACCTTATCAGGTTCACAGTTGATTCATTTTAGCAGGCTGTCTAAACAGTGTCGAGCTCATTGGCCTCACTTGTCTTTTGTCCTCTCCTTCTGTTCAAAGTCATCGTAGATTAAAGCCTATATACTCTTCCATCGTCGGTTTCTGTCTGCGTGGCTCGACCAAAAACATAATCTGGCTTTTCCTGAAATGTGGGTCAAATGATGTTGGACACGGTTGAGATTGTTGGATAAACAGGTTGCCTCATCAGACGTTAAAGAAAAAGCTCTGCGTAGTTTGAGACAGCAGTCTTCTGAATTGTGTTTACAATTAATTACTAATCAAACTTTTTTTTATGGTTGACATTTGGCAACTGATGTTTGGAGGTTTGTACAAGAGGGATGTAAACATGCATAAACATGTCCTAGGTAACAGATGGCTGTGGTTGTGTATATAAACATATGTGCACTTGAGTGCATGTGTGACTACATTTCTGACTCATAAAGCAGCACAATATTCCCTTCTACTGACTAGATTGAGTTACTGCAGCCAAAGTTGTTCATCAGTTCATATACGGCACATAGGCAACTCAGAGGCAAAGAAAATTAAATATGTCTGTGTATTTCTGTGCAGAGGAAGAAAGAAAGGCAGAAAATGTGAGGTTGATGTAATAGTAGAGGGAAGTGTGGAGGGATGGAGGATGGGAGGTAGAGGGCACAGACAGGATTAAAGAACACCATCTGTCCACTGAGATCCTTCAGCCAGTACACAAAACATCCCCGTCAAATATAGCATCAGCAGGTTTACCCCACAAGCACTGTCTACTCCACTTCCCTCACAATTCAAATTTTATAAAGCATTTTTCCTCAGCTACAGTTTTTAAATTCTTTATTTTACAACATACAAATAGGCAGCTCATGCAAAGCTGAAACATGGAGATAAAATACTTTTATCTAACAGTAGTGAACTTGATTTAAGGTTTCATTCTGCAGTCCTTGACAAAGTGAACACAAAAAAGAGTCAACAAATTAAAAATACTTTAACACTCACTGTAAATTCACAACAGAGAAGCAAGTTTGGATACTTTCACACCAAACTCTATTCAAAAATCTAGTGCTCGATCAACAAACAGACAAATAATTTGAAGAATGTCACAAGTCAAAGATGCTTAACAACATTTATGAAAGCACGCTGATCTTTGTCAAAAACGTACACGTTAAACAAGACAAATGAAAGAAAATGTTTTATACTGTTTGTCTGAAGCTGGGAGGAGTTTTAAGGGAGTTTTTTTTTTTCAGGCTACTGGCTGTGTGCTGTGTAATTAATCAACTGGTAAACAGCTTATTCAGTCTGAGCCAGCTTGGCTGACACCATCACAAGACTGCTGTCAGCAGACCGTCCAGGATGCTGCCCTCACGTCTCCTATTACGCCCTAAAGGATAATTCAGTTAAACTGGCTCGATCTCCAACTCACTGACTCTGCTGACTTTCTCTCTCTTTCTCTGTTTCTTTCTCTGTCTAAGATGCTGACTCTTTTCTCCACTGTGCTGTTTTATTGCTGTCTGTCTTCCTTGCACCATTTTAACTGCTGTCACCCCCCCCACACACACACATCTTATTTGGACTCAAATAAAGGATCAAATTTCTTACATGCAACACCACTGAGAACAAGTCTCTAGCCACAATTGTAGAAATAGGAGCAGAAAGCTTGCTTTCAAATTTGATCTCTAAACAGCGGTCAAACCCTCTGGAGTCCAGGTTTATTTTGTTTTGGTTTTTTTCTTTGTTTAGCACCTTTTTACCTGTTTTTACCCCACATGCATGATATTCTTCTTTTCAGCAAAAGCTCAACTATACAGCTATCTCATCATTTTGTCAATTTAACATCGTTTAAAGCTGCCCAGAAACTGAAATAATCTTAAAGAACAGTTAAAAGTAGTACAAAAAATATCCTTGATGATGATATTCTGCTTGAACTCCTTTACTGTGAGGTCAGAGGTCATCTTATTCAGCTCTATTACACACTCTCTGTCTCTCAATTCCTCTAAACGTTCACTCAGTGTCTGTCCTTTTAATGAATTAATCACTGTGTAAAGATGCTGTTGTTGTAAAGTGTCGCTTCCTGTAACTTAACTCAAAACACAGATCTCGTTCGTATGCTGTCTTTAAGCATGTCAGCTGCACATAATTACCTCTTTAAATTAAATTAGAGGTTTTAGGGAGGAGACACTGACTGCCTGAGTAATATGGGGTATTCAAATGAAGGCCTACGACAAAAGATAGAAGACAAGAGTGACATAAAGAGAAAAACTCAAAGATGACCTCAGGGTGCTGACATACAAAGTTACAACATTTTTACCACTTTATCAGCTTAATACTTAAACACAGCAGAAGTAACGCGGAAGAAACAGTGAGGAACAGACTGAGGGTGTGGACTTCAAAGACCAGGAGAAATTTAATTTGGGAATGAGTTGGGGGACGTATCGAATCAGCAGCAGCAGTTAGTTTGATGACAGAGCTGTAACGTTCCCCCCCGAGACAAGATTTTTGGACGTTCTTGAAAAGTTACCTGTAAACAATTTGAGGACTTCTTACTGGAAGAATCATGTCTCGTGCACAACTTCTGATTGTACTCCTACTGTGTTGTCTACCTTTGGCAGGTATGTACGACACACAAAGAATTCAATTATTACGAGAGGACATTTAAACAGTGTTTTCAGTGACGTGTAGTTTTTTTCTCTATCTAAGGACACCGAAATGTTTAAATGTGCTAATATTTAGAAAAACTTGCCTCGTGCACATAAGTTGAAAAAAGTAATTTAGTGTAATAACATTGCCTCCATACTGGGTGTTGTTCTTCTTTTTAAAATAATCATTTCTAAGGATTTATTCCTGCTAAAGTGTGCATCAAACTGGTATGACTTTATGATGAGTCAAAGATCACTATGGCATTATTTTCCATTTTGCAGAATGTCTCACAATCGGATCAGACTCATAAATTGTCCAGCTGATATACTGAACAATATTAGCTTATCAAAGATAAATTAGTGTCGGCGTATATAGAAACGGTGTCTCTATGACATAGTTTGTCTGCAGAGAGCCCTGACAGGTTTATAATAATAAGTTTATAATGGGGCGATACACGATATTATCACGCATCGCGATAAAAAACAATCAGATAAGTATATTGTGGTGAATTTTCATTATCGATATAATCATGACTATCCTCTCATGGTTTGACTTGAAAAAGCAGTTTAGCTCACTACTGTACAGTCCTATATTGAGTTCCTGATTTATTTTGAATTGCTACAAGGGAGAGCCTGCATCTTTCCAAAATAATATCGTTAATTGCAGTTATTTTGACCAGGAAAATCGTGACATGAAATTTTCATATAATCCCATTCTTTGTCAATAGATCATTATGTGTTAGAATTGGTCTGAAAAATGCAGAGCTGGCTCACAGAAAGTTTCTGATGAATAAAAAACCACTCCCTGGTCAGTCTCTGTTGTCTTTATTTGAATATATTTATTATAGTGCTGGCACCAGGAAGCAGAACTCTGCTGCTGCTTGATAAAAACACTCCCACTGGGATAGATATATCTAAGAGAACAAGGTGGAGAGGCGCGTATGGCTCTTCTCTATCTTGTCTTTTGATCTAAACACCAAAATCCAGTCAGAACCAGTTACCAAAACAAGCATCAAGAAAATGAGACACCCAAAGATCTTCTTATCTGTACGACTCAACAGTCTGAACCTTCATATATAACCTTATAATTATTTCCTCATTGTTCCCCTCAGCCTGTTTGACCTGTTACACCTGTGTATTCCCCTCCATCTCTCCTCTGGACTGCTTCAAGTTTCCTCAGGAGTGCCCAGCTGGGCAGCGCTGCCTGTCTAGTACTGCAATAGGAAGACGGGGTGAGATCCAGACCTGTGTGTGTGTGTGTGTGTGTGTGTGTGTGTGTGTGTGTGTGTGTGTGTGTGTGTGTGTGTGTGTGTGTGTGTGTGTGTGTGTGTGTGTGTGTCAGTTTATTTCTGTGTCTGTAGATGAGATTATTTTCTGAGAATCTAGGGCATGATGGCCACAAATTGGCAGACAAAGCCTCATTGTACAGAACATTGTCTGGGAACAGATTTGAGAAATGGCTCTGTGCTGCAGCACGCTGGATTTAAAGAAAAAACATTGGTTATTAAGTGAAAACTCTGACTTTTATCTTTAATTTAAGGCTGTTTACACCCACATATGAAGAACTAAGTAGAAACTATTGTCCTTTTTGTAGTAATTCCTGCACTTCTCACCTAATTCAGGCAAAATTATCTTAAAGCTGCATTAAATCCAATCCAATTTTATTTTAAATCCAGTTCTGAGAAGAAAGTTTGTTGAGTTATTTGGAAAACTTTGCATATTAAAACCCAAGAAGCTCTCAAATCTAGAACAAAGACTGATTTTAAAATAACTGGCTTAAGTCAGCAAAGTCATCCATACAATATCTTCTTTCAGAGCCAAAACAATAAAACACACACATTGTGCAAATATTTACTGTCTGATCTCTGTGTGTTGCTGCTCTGGACACTAAAATAAATAAGAATTGTTTCCAGGGCCTTCTAACAAGCTCAATCCTCCCTCGACTCCACAATTGTAAAAGACAAAAGGAGACAAAAGAATGACTCAGTGGATCAGAGCTCAGCACCATTTCTCATCAGGCCGGTTGTCAGCTCACTAATGCCTGTGATGCCATCAAATTATCCCTAAAAATAGCTCCGTGGGTGGGGCAATGAAGATTAATTGTTCAGTATTTGTCCGAATATAAAACATTTATTAACTGTCTGTTTGAGTGTATCATTGTGACACCGGTGATTTAATCCCTGGTCTGTTTCCACTCATTAGGAATTTATTCACTTCAAAAACACGAGTTGTCAGAGACTCCCGCAGGTTTAACGAGGCTAAATAAACTGTTTTAGGGTTGACCTAATGCAATAGACACACTATAAACAAACTTGAAGACACTCGTTAACGTTAAGGCTCCAAACAACCCATAATGCAACAGTATTCAAAAAGAATATCTGCTGGCATTTCTTATGGCATTTCTTTGCCTCCACAGATTTGTTTAACCAGTGTTTATTGCAAAAAATAAACCCTTCTCTTTTTACTCTGTTCTTGTAGGCGCACTACAAGTAACAATGTACGAGAAGAGCTGCGCCATCCTCTCCCAGTGTGATGTGAGTGGACAGAAATACGCCTCGGGCCTCTACTTCAACTACACCAACGTCTGCTGTGATACAGACCTGTGTAACGGGGCTGCGTCCACTGCTGCCCTCAGCTGGGGAGGACTCGCTCTCTGCCTGCTGCCTACACTCACTCTCCTGCTCGCCTGAGCATCAGAAGGGGAGGCGGGGTGTCTACTTGGGGTCAAGCTTAACACCTAATATCGAGGGTTTAAGTGACCTGGAAAAGAAGTACACTCACAGGCACATGAGCATGCACTTGTTCTCTCAAATAAAGAGTGACCAGAAAATGATGTGAGTTTTTTAGAAGCCAATATTATTTTATTAGTTTAATTTAGTTTTTCTAACCATAGTATCTGTTAAAAATGTCAAAATATAAATCAATAATTCAATTTGACATTACGTTACAAATCTGTCAAGACCACGATTGACCAAATCAGTAAAAATAACTTATATGACACCAAAATATATCTCACCTCAAGGTCTATTTTGAGGCTGTTGTGGAGCTTTTCAATCACATCACATGATCTTCATCAGGAGACAAGATTTTTCTCGGTTGTCTTGGAGATCACATTTTTTTACGAGCACTGTAAGGGCCTCCTGTCTATTTGGGATTAAAATGTGGTTCAAAGTTCAATCTTGAATTTGGAAAACAGAAAAATTCCACCTCAAGGTCCAGTGTGTAGCTGTTCTGGAGCTTTTGACCAGGTGTCCCACTTTGTGTGGGACTGCACAGCACTATTTTCTTGTCCCACATGTTGACCCATTAAGTCCCGAAACTTTCTCCTTTCTCTCCTTTGCTGAGAGGGACAGAGCAGAACTGAAGGGTGTAGTTACACTTTGAGTTCAAATGTTAATTTTTGACCTTGGAAATGGAAGACAGTTTGCCACTGGAGACCACGAGATACGATAGAAAGCTCCAGAGCAGAAACTAAATGGACCTTGAAATGAGACGGTTTAGTCAAGAAGGAGCTTTTACACAAACATGAATGAGAAGCTGTTAAAATACTCAGAAAAAGTGGGAATTTAAACATAAAACATACGATGAAAAGTTGCCGTCTCAGTATTATTCTTGTTATCTGTGCTCTACTTAAAGCTTATTAGCTATGTATGTACATGTATTATTGTTTGCACCTTTTTGTGTCCCTTCGTCTTGACCATCTCCATGTTGTTACCCTTGACAACGGTTAAAAAGAAAATAAAAACACATCAATCACTGGTTGATTTATTATCAAGATATTTTTTATTGGGATATTAATACGTGTGTCTTTGTAAGAGCTTTAAAGTACAAAATACATTTCAGCGGTGCTATTAGTTTGATTGTCTTGATTGTTAGATCTACTGCTTTAGTACCCCTCAGTTTTGATACTGTGGACTTGTTAAGTGCAACTGCTTTCAGCTACATGGCAAACAGCATAAAAAGACAGAAAAAAGGCTAAAATATTTGTAAGGAGTTGCACAAGGGTAGGAAAAGCAATATGGGTCTCATGACAAAGAAAATACATGTATATGAAGACTTAAAAAAATAGTTAAGAGACAGAAGTGAAAAACAAACTAATGAAAGTAACATTTTAAAGAATATATCAAGTTAAATGGTCCCTGAAATTGTCCTACAGTAAGAAATTATTCTGACACGATCCCTTTAAACGTTGGTCCATTTTAGAAAATAGATGAAATCCACAACAATTCAGTCAAATGAAATATACAGTATCATCTCTTTGATCCAACACTGTCACACCTCGCAGTTCATGAAGGAAGGATTTAACTTGTGTGATTAAAATCACATAGAAAAATAACCAACTGTGCTCACACTGGACGTATAATCAAAGTCTGTGTACAAGACTGTCTTTGCAAACACTTTAAATTGCACTTAGGTTTCATTTTGTTTCACCCTGATCCGAGAGACACATAATGAGGCAATCTTGAGCTCACAACAAAGATGCTCACATCGCTACCTGCTGTATAAATCAAGTGTTAATCGCAAACAGCCTTTATAAATGTTAATCTGCATAGCGCCTTCAAGTTAATAAAAATCCTCCTGGTACAACAGTCGGACGAGGCGTGTTGTTATTGGTTCCAGTTCTTCCCAGCGGTTAAATTTCAAGTCACTTTTACAAGAATTTTCCGACTCCCAAGAGCGTATTGATCTAACGGACAACACAAGACGGCTAAGTGACAGCCTGTAATCACTAAATATACAACGGTTTTAATTTAATGACAAGTCAGGTGATATTTTACAAAATTCTAATTGTCAACAAATCCCATGAAAAGACAAAAACCAACAATGTTTTAACCCATAGGTTTTCAAACTTTTCCATGTCAAGGAGCCCCACAATAGATAACCCACTAGATCACGGAGGATTTTAGTTTTAAGTCTTCATACTGAATCAATGACCTGTCACTGATCACTATCAATTACAATCAATAAAACACAGCCAAGCCTATTTCTTTCCTTGTTGTTCCAACTTCCAAAAAATGTGATAACAATTTAAATATTCCTTTTTTTTGGTGGGGAGTCCCTACAACCCACTCAAGGACCCCTGTTGGTCCCCAAGACCACAGTCTGAAAACTACTGAAACCAAATCCTGATGTAAAGGATGTCGTTCCTCAATTGTTGTCCAAAAACTATTAACAAGAGCTCTGTGAGTCTTGACTTACTACACAGGGCAGCTTTGATCTAAATAAGTAAGTAAGTAAAAAGTAAGTATACCTTTGTATACTTGCATATACCCAGCAATATACCACTGGTTAGCATGCTAACATGAATTATCCATAAACACAATGTACAGATAGGAATGAAGTAAAAAGTCTAAAAGATTAAAAGGTTATGGGATCATCAAAGTTGCTACAATTCATCCTCAGGGGGACATGAACCAAATTTAATGGCAATCCAAAAAATGTCAACCTCATTTTAAATAGCTCCCAAATACACCGTCCTTCTATAAACACCCATTAGTGCAACAAATGTGTATTGATTTAGGACTGACTGGGCGCAGTGAACAATGACATAATGTCTTGCTGGTTTTGCTCTTTGTTGACAATAAGAAGATTATAGAATATTACCAGCCTGATTTTTTAATTAACAACAAGCAACAATCTAAAGCTGCAAGTGCTATTTTCAACATTGTGCAGTTTATATTTAACTTCCTGCTGTTCTTTTTTTTTTTTTTTACCCATGCAACAGAACAGGCCTTGTGTCCCCGAGCTACTACAGGAGGCAGGACAAGTGCTTTCTGTGTGGCAATTTAGCCTTTACTTCCTTACCCACAGCACCTTGAATACAATCACAACCCGTTATCTCTCTCTTTTATATGACACAGGATCCTTCATACATGACAGCAGAACAAAATAAACTGTTGGCACGGAGCCCTGACAGCGGATCACAAACAGCCATGGTAATCTTAAATAGTCCTTCTCGCCTGCTGTGGGAGCACAGAAAGGGGAAGCCCAAGTCTATTGAAATAGTTTCCTGTCCCTGTAAATGTTTGCAGCTCTGCCTCCCTAAAGCAAATTGTGATCTGCAGGCCGGGGGTAGAAAGCACCCCCTTTCCTCTGCGTGGTGCACTATGGAGAATAAGAAACCGTTCAAAAAGGAGTTGGTTTGCAGTCGTTAAGTGTCAAAGGCGTTGTTTCCTCAGTAAGGAAATAATAAAGTCAATATGAAGCATCTGTGATTACATACAAACCACAAAAGACACTTTGGCAGGTGAGCTGGCGCTGGTATGTGTTTGTCACCATCACAAAACCCATTTCCTTAATACCAAGTCTGAAAATGAGAGTTGAATCAGCTTGTGTGAGGCTTGCAAGGTACTAGTGAAAGTTTAATCTGGTAGGCAGCTTTGTGTATGAACCCCCCCCACCCCCTCCCCTCAAAAAAAAAAAAAAAAAAAAAATCAACAATATACTGGAGCAAACTTAATCAATTTCCAACTTTACAGTGTGTATCTACTGATGGTGAAACTGTACACAAGCAAGGCTGTAGTTTTAAGTGTGTGAAAATGTTCACGCAAGTGTGTGCACTTGCGTGAACAATGAGTGAGTGGTGTGTGTGTGTGTGTGTGTGTGTGTGTGTGTGTGTGAGCCTGCAAGCAACATGGTCTACAGGTTACCAGGAGTTCATTAAATTCCTGGAGAGCTGAATTACCAGGAAAACTTGGTAGATATGCGGGCAGTCAACAAGCTTGTTAGCATAATAAATTAAGCCAGAGTTGACTTTTTGTGTGCATATTTGTTTTTTTTACATCAGCTTATCTGATTTCTGTGCTTCCTCGTCTTCTTACTGATATAAAGGATCCACGAGGCAAATAAAAGGCATCCCTCGCTGTAAATAATTTTGATGTGGTTCAACTTAATTTGCTGCCTTACAAATGTGAGTTAACTGAACTTAGGCTGAAGGGTTATTAAGTCATATATAAGTTGTAAAACCAATTGAGTTAAGTTAACTAAACTTGAGAAAACACGTTCAATAAGCTTCAGATATTAAGTTGAACCAACAATGAACATTACAAACAGATTTATTTTTACATTTTCTTAGTTTGCAGAGTCAGTTCTTAATTTCTGTGTATTAGAGACACAGGTTTCCATCATATATGTTATCTTCAAACGAAAAAAGAAGGGCCTCAGGCACTCTCAAACAATGCATGCTGGGAAGTCTGCAAATATGCTGATCATGTTTCTTTAGAAACACAATTTAATGAGTCAGAACTTCATAGAACAGTATGTTAATTAACTCACCATTTTAAGTCAAAATACTTCCTGAAATGATCAGAAAATGCAAACAAACGTTTAATTAACTTGAAATAAATACAACTTGTATATTTATGTTAATGTGAAAAGATTAGTTGATTCCTTTTATAGTGAAAACTACATGAATAACCCACTCTAAAACAAACGACAGTGTACCCTATCAGAATGATCTAACATAAAAAAAGGTAATATCAACTTTTAAAGCTGCAAAAAAAAAATTATCTTACAGATGCAACGAAAGCCTCCTGAGAAACAGATCGACCACATTGCTTGCAGTGTGAACGCTCGCTGTGTGCAGCTGAGTATGTGTGTTGTGCTTTTGTATGTTGTTCTGCTGGTGTGTTCTTGTGCATCCTGTTTTCCTCCTACTTGAGAGCCTTAGCTACAGAGGAGTAGGCGATGTGGATCTCCTCGTCGACCGGGCAGGTGGAGGAAAACTCCTCCCTGGCGTACGCAGCGTTCAGGTACCTCCAGAGGTTTGTCAGAGACTCAGGGATGCTGAAGTTTCGGTATTTTAAACACACCACCTGGAGAGAGAAAAGGAGAAAAAGTGTAAGAGACACAATCAACTAAACATGACCAGTTTCAGACCAAAAACATAAACCTTATAATCAATTCCTCCCAGGCCCTCCATGCTGCACAGCTTGAAACAGAAGATTACCTTCACGATGTGCAGCTTAGGCAGCAAGTTGCAGTCAGCCAGAGTAAGCTCTTGGCCGTCCAGGAAGGGGCGGGACGAGGAAGTGACTTCATCAGCGCTATTCTCGTCAATCTCATCAGGAAGTGGGGAGCCAAGGTAGTCATCCAGCTTCTTCAGAGCCTTCAGCAGACCTTTCTCTAGATCTGAGCACATGTGCATACACAGAAACAGTCAAATACAGTGTTTAATCAAAGCTAAATGAATAGTTTGCACCCTGATTTCAGACTAAAGCAATTCTTTTTCATTGTTAAAATGGCTGAAATGACTGAGTGAGTTTTGTTTTACAGAATTAACCGAGTACATTAAATTTTTTCACCCAACAACACTGACATTTCCAATAAGATCACCCGAAACAGAGAGCAGCATGTAAAGCTCAGACCATAGTGTTATTAACAGATGCTCCATGCTGGTTTCCTGTCCATCAGAGAAACACAGAAGGAACTGCGACAGAAACCACCACCAAAAATAAAACACGGTCTATTAGAAATGTAAAAAACACAATTAGATTATTATTAGATGCACTTACTCTCATTGGCCTGAGGGTTTGAGTTCTTGACGTAAGCGGAGAATTTGGAGAAAACATCCATGCCCGCTGTGTTGGACTCTGGGTTACGAGCGGCCATACGAGGATACCTAAACACACAGAGACAGGTGGGTGATGATTCTCATACGATCATCACATTACAAACAAAAATACACACGAATGAAACGTGCATGAAATGTGAACTGTTAAGAGCTCAGACCAAGAGGATTCATACAGGATGACACAAAAACTGCAAAAATAGCAATTATTTTCATTATGTATTAACCTGCCAGTTCTTTTCTCAGTTAATTCATTAAGTGCTTAGACTACAAAATTTCAGAAAGATAAAAAAAAAGCCTGTTAAAGCACAAGATGACATCTTCAAATGCTTGTTTTGTTCAACAAACTCCACAGGGTTTATATTTTGGTTTTAAAAACTACTTTTCTATTGATCGACTAATTGTTTCAGATCTAAAAACCCCTACCAAAATCAAACAGATTTGTAAAACAGACAGTTGGAGCAATTACTTCGGAGGGGCGAGATTTTCCTCCAGGAACTCCTCAATCTTGTTGGTGTCGGTTTTCACCTCGCTGCCATACAACAGGAAGGGAGGCTGGGCACCCGGAGCCAGGTCCTTCAAAATGTCTGGCTTCCTAAAGTTGGATGGAAATAAAGTCAAACACAGACATCCAGGAAAAGATATAGAGGGTTAAACAGCAGAAGGGGAGATGAAAGAAAAGGGGGAGGAAGGAAAGGAAAATGAGAAAAAACATAAAACTACAGGAAATTACTCGTCATGTTTGCAACTAATGCCAGAGCGGCTTTACATCTTTTAACACTCAGTATCTGGAAGAAATGCCCCCTGTTCCTTCACTGCACGGTACATTTGGGAGCTTTAAAACAGTCGGCGGACATTCCTCTGTTGTGCCCAAAGCCAAACCACCAGCACACATGTCCAAGTCGAGTGTTTTCACCTCTTCATATCCACTGTGGTGACGTCAAAGGTGACTCCTTTCAGCCACAGCACCATGAAGAGACGCTGGGAGAAGGGACAGTTGCCGATGCTCTGACCATCGCTGCCCGCCTGGAACACAAAAAAACCAGAGAAAATGTGCATCATTTTATATCATTCCTCATGTAGTCGTTCACATTTACGTTGGTGTCAGTGGGTAGAGGCACAGATGGGGAAGAAGGGGATATGTAATGAGTATTGCTGTTAAATAGTACATTATTTAGTCTATAAAAAAATCTGTTTTTCAAAATCACAATTTTCTAAAACACAACATTTATGTGTCTTGTTTTGTCCGACCAATTAGTCAAAAACACAAATATAACCAGTTTCTTATCACTTCTTCATCGACTATTTGTTTTATTACATCATAATGTTTGGTTTTCGATTGTTATTTGGAAAAAATAAGCAATTTTAAGACAACAAACTGGGCTCTGTAAAATGGCATTTTTCAACATTTTCTGACCATTTCAAGAACCAAACGATGAATTGATTAATGGAGAAAATAAATAGTAGATAAATCCACAACAAAAATCCTCATTATCTCCAGCGATTTACACAACATAATTTATTCTTGCATTCAAGTTGAGCAGGAAATGATCATACAGCTTTAAAATGCTCCTCATAGAGCAGGCGGGAAGCCATATTTCATGTTCAGCCACTATTTATCTCTACTGTGGGCTGAACAGCATGCAGAACAAACTCGAGGGCACTTACAGTAAACCAGACAACCGCTTACTTTCTGTAACCAAGGCCAAAATGAAACTATACCTATGTTTTCGGTTAATTAAAAGGTATCGAATGTCATTGCCTAGAAACAAGGATTTAGAGAAGTTACAACAGCATCTTTCACCCCTGAAGAAGACGAAGGGGGGGAAGTAGAGGGTGGTGCACATGTTCACATGTTCATACAGAGGAATCATTATGGGAGACTTGTGTAAGACCATGAGGGGAGGCAGGGAAAGACATATTGGTTATATTAGAGCATGCATTTTTGGCTCAAACAAAATGGGATTAGCTTGCCTGGCCAACATACTAAATATAGATTAAAGTCGGCAGCCCATTATCTTAACGTGCACTTAATTAGATTAGTCTTACTGTCACTAATAAGCCCGGTGAGTCAGCAGAGGAGGAGGGGGGGGGTGTCTAACTAACATGAATTTTAAACGCACAAGGTGACTTTAAGAGTGAGAGATAACGCTATCAGCATGTAATAACAATCAACTGAGACTGCGGATGAAACGATAAGATAACGAACCCGTTAAATAAACCTCTGTCACACAACGTCGCAGGGACCCGGCGGCACTTCTCTGGGTGTTTTTAAAACTCATCACTGAGTCACTTACCTTCACAAAAAGTTCAACTTTGGGCTCACTGGCGTCGCTCATCTTCACCTGCTGATGCACGAGGTCCTGTTTATTTAAAAAGGGGGTGAAAAAGGAGAAACAAGACACAAAACAGGTGGTTAAAATTAATAAATGAGGCAGCAAAGTTACATTTTACACCCGAGAAACGAGTTCGAAACTCGGGCAGCCAAGCCCATCTTCCGCTGCAAAATCCCGGTGAGCAAATGACAAATGACACATTGTAGCAGCTCCACAAGCTGCGCAAACGCTACACAAAGCAAACCTCTCCCTTCCTAAAAAGCTCAACGTGTTCACTTGTAGCCACTTTTAAGAGCTGCAGAGCCCCCCTCCCCGAAAAAAAGACAAAAAAAACCGACCTTAAAAAGTTAGAAGAGTTGTCGCCTGTTCACTGCTCCGCTGCTCGTTTCCCCTCCCAGTTCTCTCGCTGTCTCTCCGTCGGCCGCAGTTACACACACTCATCAACGCAGCTCCTCCATTTCCTGGTGCTGCGTGACGGGTTGAGCCCTCAGCAAATAAAGTGGCGTTCAAGAGCAGACGGAGAGAGAAAAAGGCGCGGGCTGCTTTGAAGTCGGCGGGGAGGAAGAGAAAAGAAGAGGAAGAAGAGACGGAGGACCCATCCTTAATGGTAGATCCTTTATTTACAAAGTAAACAGTGTGATGTTATCGACGTCCCGAACCTTTTAGAAATACTTTGAGTCTATAAACAATAACAAAATGTGTCCATACAGTTAGTGCCTAGTTTTCTGTGAAGTTCCTCCTTTGATTATTGTCTTCCTATAAATAAATTACTATTATTTATTCATTTATTTTTATTTTTATGTTTCTTTTTATATATTATACTGCTGAAAGTTAGTTATATTATCGTTTTTCATTATGATGCCTTTATGTTCTATACTTTTTGACTTATGTCGGTTAGAAGTGACAATTACCAGCAAGAATGACTCCTTTCAAAGTGTTTTATTATTATAGAATATTATATTATTCAGTTTTTATCACTTAAATGTCCAGTGTGTAACATTGAGGAGGATCTATTGGCAGAAATAGAATATAATGTCCATAGGTAAGATTTTATTAGTGTATAATCACCTGAACATAATAATAATAATAATCATGTTTTTGTTACCTTAGACGTTTTTATGTACAGATGCAGTACTGTCTAACTCATATCATGTAAGTATATCATAAGTTATTTTATTAGCAGCAAAATTTACTTAAAGCAGCAAAAGTACTCAGTATACAAAATTACCCCTTTCAGAGCTTTAAATTATGGAGCCTTCAACGTTAATAATAGCAAAAGATTTATATAGGCTTTGGTAGGAGAAAATTTACTTAGTTACCTTCCACCAGTGGATACAGGGTGAGGAGGGTGAAGGAGGGAAGATGAGGTGCCAAAATACTTTGTAATATAAATATTTTCAAAAGAGAAACTTAAGATTGGAGACACTTAATGTGGGGTTCGCGGGCCATAGTTGGTCCGCTTTAAAGGGGAACTTGGCAACTCTAGCCATTTCTTTGCTGGTTTTCACTTTTGTCATCGCATGTTTTCTCAACAAGCTCCCCCTACAGCTCTGAGAGTATATTTCAAAACACTGTCGTAAAAAAAACAAACTCACTTGCAGCACCCTCCTCCCCCTTTCTACCGCTGCTGATGTGCATTTGTTGCCGGGCAACTTTTTCGTGTGGAGCAATTTCTACCGAGGTGGGTAATACATTCATCGTCGCTTGTTCTTATAGCCAGTGTGACTAACCGGTATTGAGGGGGGCGTGTGCGTTTATGTGGAATTGCCGTAAAGCAGTTTGTGTTTCTCGCTCGTTCTTACTTCTCGTGATACTTCCTATTTCCAACTTAACGGAACGGTAGTCCCAAAGTTGCAAGGTTGGTTTTCCACCTGGGGACACTAGGGGGAGCAGGGAAAGTCACCATTTTCACCGGAACAGGCCATTTAACCATCCAAATGATTTCTAAACGGGTTTATTAGGTTGAAATAGTTGCCAAATTCCCCTTTAAGGTTTGATGGTTTGTGATGTAAAATGCTCTTTAAATATGTAGCCATGATTGTTTTTACTGTGTGTTTTTTTTATTGTGCAATGTTATGTTTTTTGTCCACAATGCAAAATACTGGAATCACAAAGTTAACCAACTAACCAACCAATCAATCAACTAAAGCTTAACCATCTTAAACCTACTTTAATACTGATGAGGTGACGGAAACACTACTGCTTTTGTCCACAGGGGCCGCCAGAATCAACATAATGAAAGTTCCTTGTTGCTGATTTAATACTGAAATATACTGTCTGTAATTTTAATACAAGCAGTCAGGATTAGACAGTGGGTATATCGTAATGTCAAAAACACATTGTATGTAGCTTGCATGTATTTATTTGTGAATATTTTGTTCAGAGTTATGACTTTACATAGTCTACTTTACAGTATGTATTGCAGTAGTGTAAATAGCCAGTAGAGGGAAATATTGAGCTTTGATTTTTGCTTTCAGGGGATAAACAAGACATGAAAAACTGTACTGAACCTGGTCCAGAAATCTGGAAAACCAATAAAATATGAGGAAAGTCCTGCTGGGTTGCCAGTCCACTGAGCACGTACACAGACAGTCAATGGCTTAATTCAGATATAGCATTCACAGTCATGAAGGCCCTAAATGGGATCCAGGGAGCTCCAGGAATCATTGAGAAACTCCCAAAGGGAGAGTTTGAGTCTAAGTTAAATCTATTTAACCCACAAGAGCCAGACTAAGTTTTTATTTTTCAATTTGATCACTGAGACAGTGGTCAGAAATGTTTCTTTGTTGTGATTTACTTTACAATTCAAAAACACAACTCAAAAAAACTAAGACCTTACATATAGTCCAGTATTCAATCCAGCTTTAGTTTAGTTTGATTGAAGATTTTTCTTGTTTTATTTTATTTATTTAGTCATTTACTTAACTTTGAGACAACATAGATGCCTTAAACTTTTTGATTGATTTTTAAAACTACTGTTTCCAAAGATCAGGAATGAACTTTAACTCTAATATTTGACCTGGGGAAAGTAAAGACTATAAATGTTCTTTAAGTGTTTTTGATAAAGTTGGGTAAAGCTGCGAATAATTGGGTTTTTTAATGGCAGAAAAATCATAGCAGTCCAAAAAGGAATTTGAGATAATGGAGATATCAGTTGTGCAGTAGGGACTAACCCTCCAATATCATACTGTCTTCATCATATTAATTACTAATACTAGGCCTATAAAAACATATATTGTTATTCTAGTATCGTGTCTAAAGTATTCTTTGTGGTTTAGTTTATTCAGCCTGGTTGTGTGCACTAGAGGGCATCCTTGGTTTTAAAATGGCTTGTCAGATTAGGGCGGTGACACAGGGTTAATTAGACCATCAGTTGGCCTGTGGAGAAAACAATAGCGCGCTGTAGACTGTATAGTTGGCAAGTGTTGACAACATGTCAGAGTAAGTGGAGGGGGAATCTGGGGGGGATGTTGATATGGAGCTGGAATTGGATTTTGAAGTGAATTATCTATTAATTTTTCCTAGAAATATTTTAATTTAGCTTCTCAGGATGCTGAGTTAAATCAGTGTCTTCCTCAATCACCTTTAATACGGCGGATGATTGTTTACACACTGCAGTTTTTGTTTTGTGAAAGGTTTTATGACTATGAATTCATGCTCAGTGTCACTGAAAGTTTAATCAGTTAGTTAGTTCATAATAATGCATAAACTTACTATAACTTTCTTTTTTTTTTTTTACTTGGATTTACATGTACACACTGTTTTATTTATGCAGGAAAGTGGTTTTACCTTGTTTATTTAATCAATTTTATCAGCTAAAAAGTTATAAAATGTGGGTAAAATGTTGCTAATAACTATAAAATAGGCTTTAAATTGTCCTGGCCACATTCAAATGAATGCAAAAACCATGAATGTCTTTAGTGTGATGTCATTTTATAGACTTTCTCTTAGCACACCCAACTCTAAAGTTGTTCCTGCTTGGAAGAGGATTGTGAAGCGAGGGATTTGTAATCTGCAACTACACAGCTAGATGCCACTAAATTCTACTTACTGTTCCTTTAAATTCTGGTGGTGAAATACTGAAGTGAATATTTATTTTTATGGCCTAAAAGTCGCATTTAAATGGAGTCTAAAATACTGAAATGCTGGAATAAACCCTAAAATGGCTGTATTTTATAATGAAGACACAAGGCAGAAAATTATTGTTTTTATTGATTTCTTCAATATGTGTAAATACAACAAATCACAGTAAAGAGTAAAGTATTCTGAGTTATATAGATTAAAAAACGGTGTAAACAGAGGGATCATAGTGTGAAACTACAGCTCCCACATGCCCCACAGAGAGGACAGGATGGCAACACAGAGGGCCACAGTGAGCGGGAGCTGGACAGAAGTGGCTCCATTACACAGTTCTGTGGTACAACACTGGAAACTGCTGGTGTAACCAGCGCCAGCGATGCTACCAGTCAGCGTCTTCCCACACAGGTCTGAGTCCAGGCAGCCGCGGGTGTGCAGGGTGACCGTCCCTGTAGCGTTGAACTCTGGGAGGAAAACAGTGCAAATGTAACAAATTTAAAGGAAGCTCGTTTGATGCAGTTGAGCAACACTAACTAAATTTCCCATCTTATATTACATTTAAACAAACAGATCTGAACCATCAACAAATATAAAGAGGGACGACATGACAGCTCTCCAAAAGTAAAGCCAAAACATCTCAATTTAACCATGTGATAAAGTCCAAAGCTCCACAACTTTGAACCTCAAATATCATCACTTATACATATTGCTTGTCCTATGTGAGCCTTAATGAGGATAGAAAAGAAAGTCCCAACTTTCAGTCATGATTTTTCATGTTTCATTTTTTCATTTTCGATATGTGGTAGTGCAGCATTTGTATTGTATTCACAGAGTGTTGTAGAGGTTTCCTTACGTGCTTCTCCGGTGAAGCAGCTCTCAGTCGCATTGTTACATGTGACGTCGCTTCCAAACAGACACGTCCCAAATATACCAATAGGACACTGACGACAGGTCAGGCATTGTGCTGTTCGAGGAAAGAGAGAGAAACATTATCACATTAACAGTAACTCACTCAATAGCATATTTGGAGATTTCTTAGTGTTCAACAGTCCCAGTTCAATCTGTGCTGGTTTCTCCACCTACCAATACCTGTGAAGCTACTAACTGGTAATGTGATCTCCTTTGTTTAATGCTTACAAAAAACATGGTTGGATTCGTGCTTGACGATTTCTTGGGTGCAGTCAGGGCGGACTGGGACAATAATTCAGGCCGGGAATTTGATACCATCCCAGGCCACCACCACCCGATTAACGCAAAACACCAAGAGTGAGTTAGGTTGGGCGTCTACTGATGTAAGAGTGTAAAATAATAAAGCCAAGGTTCCACATGCGCCCACACACAGCTTTTTCTGTTTCTTTCCCCTACAAAATAAATGTTTCTGTTGTGCTGCAATAACCTGCAGGCCTACTCAAATCACATAAACTGAAA